GGTTTGATTTTTTTTCCGTAAGTCCTCAGCTCTTAGATTTGCTCTATCCCAAAGGTTACAGTAAATTGTGTTTTTATTTTCATTTGAATCTACAAATTTTTTAATTCCCTCTCTGATTTCTTCAGTGACCCAGCAATCATTCAGAAATGTATTACTTGGGGCTGGGGATGTGGTTAATTCAGGAAAGTCCTTTCTGAGCAAGCACAGGATGAGAATTAGAGTCCCAGAACATATGTTAAAAAAGAAATAGAAAAAGAGACTAGGGATGATGGCAAACACCTGTAATCATAGAGATGAGAAAGAAGAGACTAGGTCTCAATCAGCTTTATATTATTTTAAACAAAAGAAAAAGTTACAGTCTGAGGAATGTTGGCTTCTGGCCTCTAGTCACATCTACATACATGCATATATACTTGAGTGTGTGCATCTAAATACACACACTCACATGCGCGCACGCGCAAGCGCGCACAAACGAAAGAAAGAGAGAGAGAGAGATAGAGAGAGAGAGAGAGAGAGAGAGAGAGAGAATAGGGGATAGGAGGAGGAGGAAGGGGGAGAGGGGGAGAAATTTCCATGTATGTATTGTTTATTTTCCTGTTGATTTCTAGTTTCATTCTATTGTAATCTTGTGAAATTATCTCAGTTCTTTTTATTTCTTAACTATTGGATTAAGGCCCACATATGGTATATACCTTGAGTAGTGTTGTGAAGAAAGTATATTCTCCAGCTGATGGGTAGATTGTTTGTAGATATGTGTTAATTCCATTGGACCTATGACACAGTCTGTCTGAAATTTCTTTTTTGCTTTTCTTTTTGTTTGTCTAGAAGACCTCTATTGTAGAACAAGAAATAGTATTCTAATCTGGGTCCAACTATTCCTGTATGTCCAACAGTATTTGTTTTATGAAATTCAGTAAATCAAAATTCTGTGCTAGGTATTTATAATCATTATATCATCATCTTTGAATTTTCCCCTCATAAACAAGTAGTACCCTTCTTTATCTCTTCTAACTTGGGCTTGAAGTCTACTTTTTCAGATATAAGAATGGCCACTTCTGCCTGTTTCCTGCTTCTAATTGCTGGGTAGACACACAGCTTTCCATTCTTTGACTTCCGCTCTGTATGTAATTTTACCACTAAGGTCTGTCTCATAAACAATGAACAGTTGGATCTTGATTTTTTTTTTTTTTTGGTTTGGTGGGGGAGGGGAAGTAAAGACTTACTTTTATTGTATATGTATGTACACCACATATATGGCAAGTGCATGCAGAGACCAGGAGAGATTATCAGGTGCTCTAGAACTAGAATTATGTAAGACTGTAAACCACCACAGGAGTGCTAGGAAAGGAACCTGAGCCCTGTGCAAGAGGAGTGAGTGCACTTAACTGCTGAGCCATCTCTCTGGTGCCTGGCTCTTGAATTTTGATTCACTCAGTTGGTTTATGGTCTTTACTTGGGGAACTGGGAGCATTAACATTCAGGGTTACTACTAAAGGACACTTGCTGGTTTCTATAATTTTGATGATTATTTCCTTAGTTGGTATTTTAGTTAAGGTTTCTACTTCTATGATAAACACCATGACCAACAGCAACTTGTTGAGAAAACAGCTTATTTCATCTCACACATCTAGGTAACAGTCTAAGCTCCACCCACCAGTTATCAGTTATCAGTTAGGAAAATGTTCCACAGGTCAATGTGGTGGTGGCTTTTCCTCAACTGAGATTCCCTCTTCCCAAATGATTCTGTCTTATATCGAGTTGACATAAAACTAACCAGCACAGGTGGCTAAAGTAATGTTTGCTGTTTCTTTTTCCTTGGTTTATCTTAGGTGATTCCTGATATATTTAGGTGGATATATTTGTTTCTCTTCTAGTTCTTGTTTGCTACTCTATTCCTCTCATCAGATATTTATGTTGCTATACTCTACAGCTGTGACTGGCTTTCTCCCCTCTTCTTCCTCCTGTGTATAGAATTCTTTTAAGTATCTTATGTAGTGCTGGTTTGGTGATAATTAATTGCTTTCATTTGTGCTGGTCTTGAACCGTCTTTATTTCTCCATCAATTAAAAATATGAATTTGGTAGATATAATCCTGTTTGGCAGTTACTTTAGGATTTAAAGTACAGGCCTCCATGCTTTTCTAGCTTTTAGGGCTTCTTCTGGGACCTCTGAGATTATTCCAAGGAGTTTGCCTTTATAAATGAATCTGTTTTGTCTAGAAGCATTCAATGATTTCTTTGCTCTGGAATTGTCACATTTTAACCAGGGCATCTCCCGGGGCAGTTCTTTTCTGATCATGTCTAACTGGGGGTCTAAACATCTCCAGTATGTCTGTTTCTTCCCCTAGATAAAGACATTTTCTGATTTGATTTAACTAGTGTTTATTCTAGGTCTCAAGTTTTTGTCTCAGTTCCCTTTTCTACTCAATGGATTCATTGGGTTGCTTTCTTATTTGTGTCCTGAAGTTCTTGGTTGCTGTTGTCTACATGAACTTTGTCTCAATCATGTGTCCTAGCACTTTCCTCAGTGTGATATTGTATGCTGGTGAAGCTTTCTACTACATTTTTTTAAATTTAGTTTTTTCCATTCTCTTTTTCAAAATTTCAATTTTCATGCTTAATTTTTCTTCTGTTTTTCAATTTCTCCACACTGCTAGTTTTCTTGTAGATCCCAAACACATTTCCTTATCACATTCATTTGTTTGTTTGAATCCTCTTTGAAATACATGATTATCTTTACATGTAGTGTTTTAAATTTTTTGGAATTCCGCTATTTCATTATCTTTGGTTTCAGTTACTAAGGAGTTGTAGGCTATGGAAGGTGTCTACTAGCTTGCTTTTTCATGCTGTTTTTAAAATTCTGTTTTATAATGTGTATGTGAAGAGATGGGAAGGTTTTTAAGTTTATTTCCCCAACTAATGGGTAGTCTTCTCTTCAGTTTATAATCCCCACTACTAATTGAGGACAGAAGCAGACCAAGGTCATGAAAACAACAAATTGATAACAAATCAAGTATTAAAGTGAAACAAAAAGCACTGTCTCACTCCAGCCATCAATAATGAGGCATGATGGATCCTTTTCCCACATAGATCTTTCTACATACAGTGTCTGCTTTTCACACAATAGCAGACTCATGTAACATACTAGGTTTGTAGTGATTTATTCTGGTTTCCTTTTTGCTTTAATTTGCAGCAACAGCATAGGTACAGCGGATTCTCTCCCTTCCTTACCACTTTGTCCAATGCTGTAAGCTGGTATCTATTGCTTTCTTCGTAAATCTACAAGATTTCTGATTTCACATAGTTTCTGAATATCTAATGTTTACTGTAGCCTACTCTCATCTTTTCACACAATCACCTTGCTCTGCAGTAAGGGATCCAGTATTTTCTTTCAGGTTCATGAAGACACAGAACTCTTGTCTCTACCCACCCATGTTCTAAGTCTTAGACTGCTTAGAATCTAAACTTCATTAAGTTTCATGAGAGAAGGTAGTCCACCAAAGACAAGAAAACGGTGTTGTAGATCTAGTTGAAGACTCCTTTTCTTTTCATGAGTTAGGCTTGGGAAAGATAATTCACCAAAATAAGATCTTCAAAAACAATACCTTAGGTCTTCAACTTAAGCATTAAAATTTCAATGAGAAGAGATGGAAATGTCTTTCTAATAAACCCTCTTCATCACAAAGTCCATGATATACATTTTTATACTTCAAAAGAAATGTGAAGCCTTCATGTATCAATCACTGTATATGAAATGCCATATTCTACACAGAAACAGTCTACACACTGTGCTTGCATGAAATTATAGTGTCCTGTGCCATCACAAGCCTCTTGGTATTAAGCATATATTAATCAAATAAGCATATATATATATATATATATATATATATATAAAGACAAAGGGGGCAATAATAATAGTACCATCTGATGATCATCATTTTCCTATTCCCATGTACCACTTGGGAATTTACCACTTGGATTAACTCACTTAATCACTGCATTTGATAATCATATCAATTTTATAAAGAAAAAAAACCCACACATGAAAAACCTAGGAAAGTCAATCTGAGGCTACTTTTCAATCTGGAGTTCATATAATATAAAGAAACAGGAAGATCAGGAATTTAAGACCAATATGAGCTACCTATTTAACCTGTCTGAGGAAAAAAAAATACCTAAAACATCACAACTAAGTATCATCATTTGTCTGCCTGAACTTGGGACAATCATGTTCCCTGGACATAGCTCCCCATGAGAATAATAACTTGCCCTGTCTAAGGCCAGCCATAATTATCAAGATATGGGTATTTTCATAAACAGGAACTAGATATCATTTCAATATTATAATAAGGAAATTGCTGGGTAAAATGTATATGACATAAACAAGCTTATAATTTTAACTCAACCATAATTTTTACACTTCAATTTACATTATTAATGCTCATTTTACCCTGCTTAAGTTTTTCTGGTTTGGTGTTTGTTTTTATGTTTTGTTTTGTTTTGTTTTTTCTTTCCTTTTGAGACAGGGTTTCTCTGTGTAGCTTTGGGGCCTGTCCTGGAACTAGTTCTTGTAGACCAGGCTGGTCTCAAACTTAGAAATCCACCTGCCTTTGCCTCTCAAGTCCTGGAATTAAAGTGTGTGCCACCACCACCTGGCCTGCTTAAGTTCTTAACCAAGTCATCTCTAACAAAGAGTCAACAACATGAAAACCATTTCCGGATCCCCATGCCCCTGATGGCTCTTTACATCTTCAGTTCTTTCAGTGAAAACACGCTCAGTCTAAGTTTTGCATTCTAAATGTTCTCATAATCTTCCAAACCACAAAAATCTGCATTCACTGTCATTCGAAGTTTACATTCTTGACATTTTGTGCGCTTAAAACTAGATTTGTAGGCATCACTTTCCTGGAATACATTCTATCATTTCAGTCCCTGGTAGGATGGTAAATAATGTTAGTAAATGAGCCTCAATTACATTGGTTTTAGAGCAAACATACTGACCTTGAAGTGAGACTGAAGGAAACAGCAAATCCAGGAAGAAAACGTGAAAGAGAAAGTTAGAAAGAATTAATTAAGGACAATAATAAAAAATACTAACATTCATGAATGGGGTAAGGCATAAAACACAGAATGAAGAGGACAGAACCATAGAGATTCTTCACAGGTTGGAAAAATCAAAACTCCAGATCTCAACAGATACATTTCCTATCAGAGTTAAGTACTTTATTTGATGAAAATTCTTAAAAATGTTTGTCCAACTTGACCACTTCCTGTAGTGTGGAACACATTTCTTAAAGACAATGGGGAGGAATGTCAATTCTGTCATTTAAAAAGTTAGAACCAGCTTTAGTGAGTGGTTTGTGTGTGTTTTTTAAACATTTCTTTGTATATTTATTTTGTATGTATGTGTGTGGGCACATGTACACATGCTATGGCATGTGTGTAGAAATCAGAAGACAAATTGTAGGAGTTTATACTTTCACTCCACCATGTGTGTTCCTGATCAACAGGCTTGGTGGCAAGCATCTTTACCAGCCAAGCCATCTAGCCAGTGCCAGCAGTAGAGGCTATACAGTTTCGGTCAGTGGAAGCTTTTTTTTTTTTTAATAATTTATTTTTATTTTGCGTGCATGAGTATTTTATCTGCATGTATGTCTGTTTAAGGGTATTAGATCCTGGAGCTGCCTTGTGGGTGTTGGTAACTGAACCCCAGTCCTCTGGAAGAGCAGTCAGCTCTTAACCACTATGCCATCTCTGCAGCTTCCCAGCTGAGTTTTTAATACTCCACCTTAAGTCTGGTTACTCCCTCAGTACCCTATCTCATGGAGAGGACCCAAGACATCGAAAAGAAAAGGTACAACACAGACAGCTTCAGTTCCTCTTAGATTACAAATACCCTAGAAAAAATCTGAAATAATCTTCTAAGTCAATTTTTCCGTAATCATAACATTCCTCAATTTACCTCTACTAAGTTCCTTGAATAATATAATCTAACAACAATAATAGCTGTATTTAAAAAAAAAATTCATTTCCAACACTGTTCAGCATTAAGACCTACAAAGCAGCCATATTTAAGCTCTCTACAGCACAAAGGTCTGATGAGTCATTATTGTCTTTTATAATAGGAAGGTTTCTCTTTCTGAAAATCAGTCAGTTTAACTAAAATGACTACTGCTTCCTCAGCAGTTAAGATTTATAATGCTAGTGACATCATGATTGTTTTCATGACCTAATTTTTACTTTAAGAATCAAAACCAGGCCGGCCTGACCCCTACTGTGGATCTCTCTGGGCCTGTGCCTGCTTAGAGTGGACCCGGCCAGGCAGGGAGGGGCTCACTGAGTCTGGAAACACCTCACTCTTCCTTCCCCTTTCCATGGCCAGAACGACCTTTACCGAGTGAGGACACTACCAGGAGAGGCAAGACCATCCAGAGCAGCAGACATTGAAGTCTTGGCCCACACACACCACCGGGTGACAAGAGGAGATACAGAGACCCCACTTGCACTCACTGGAAGAAGACAAGGGAAGAAGACTGAACAAGTGAAGAACACACTCAACAACAGAAAGACCAATATGACACCATCAGAATCTAGGGACTCCACACGAGCAACATCTGAAAATCTCAACACACAGAGTATGAAGACGAGATGGATCTCAAAAATGATCTTAGGAAGATGATAGAGACCTTTAAAGAGGAAACAAGAAAATCCCTAAAAGAAATAGAAGAAAAAACAAGCAAAAATTACAAGAAATGGCGGAAAAGACAAACCAAAGAATTCAAGAAGTAAACAAATCTCTTAAACAATCTAAAGAAAGCCAAGAAAAAACAACCAAACAAGTGAAGGAAACACTGAACACAGTTCAAGGCATGAAAGCTGAAAAGGAATAATAAAGAAAACACAGAATGAGGCGATGCTGGAAATAGAAAGGCTGGAAGCTGAGAGTATAACCAATAGAATTCAAGAGATAGAAGAGAGAATCTCAGTTGTTGAAGACTCGCTAGAGGATATACAGTCATTAACCAAAGAAAATCTCAAGTCCAACAAATCCCTAACACAAAATATCCAGGAAATATGGGACACTGTGAAAAGGCCGAACCTAAGAATAATAGGTATATAAGAAGGTGAAGAAATACAGCTCAAAGGTACAGAAAACATATTCAACAAAATCATAGAAGATAACTTCCCCAACCTACAGAAGGATATGCCTATGAAAGTACAAGAAGCTTGCAGAACACCAAACAGACTGGACCACAAAAAGAAGTCCCCTCGACACATAATAATCAAAACACCAAACCTACAGAATAAAGGGAAAATATTAAGAGCAGCAAAGGAAAAAGGCCAAGTAACAAATAAAGGCAGACCTATCAGAATCACTCCCAACTTCTCAATGGAAACACTGAAAGCCAGAAGGTCCTGAATAGATATCCTACAAACACTAAGGGAGCATAGATGCCAACCCAGACTACCCAGACTACCACACACCTATGAACACCTTATTTTTGACAAAGATGTTAAATCTATAC